TTTAAATTCTAATTATCTTTATAAATATCAAAATTCTTCTGCAAAATTCAATTATCTTTAAAAGTAATAATATATTCTTATCTAAAATTCAATTATTTGCAATAAATTTTAATAAAATTCTTGTCAAAATATAAAATATCTTTATAAATAATAAAATTTATCCAAGAAATTATATTCTTTTTTATTTTTCATTACATTTCTTGTCATAATTTTAATTATCTTTATAAATAATGAAATTCATCCTAGAAATTTAATTATTTTAAACAATTTTTCACAAATTCTTCTTAAAATTTCAATTACCTTTATAAATATGAAAATTCTTCTGCAAAACTCAATTATCTTTAAAAGTAATAAAATTCTTCTCTAAAATTTAATTATTTGCAATTAATTTTAATAAAATTCTTGTCAAAATATAAATTATCTTTATAAATAATAAAATTCATCCAAGAAATTTTATTCTTTTTTATTTTTCATTACATTTCTCGTCATAATTTTAATTATCTTTATGAATAATAAAACTCATCCTGGAAATTTAATTATTTTCAAAAGTCCTAATAAAATTCTTTGTAAAATTCAATTGTCTTCAGAAGTAAGAAAATTCTTGTCAGAAAATAAATTATTTTCAAAATTTTTTTTCAAATTCTTCTTAATATTTCAATTATCTTTATAAATATCACAATTCTTCTTCAAAGTTCAAATATCTTTAAAAGCAATAAAATTATTCTCTAAAATTCAATTATTTTTTATTTTTTCTTTAAATTTCTTGTAAAAATTTTAATTATCTTCATTAGTAATAAAATTCATCCAAGAAATCCAATTACTTTTAATTTTTCTTTAAATTTCTTGTTAAAATTTTAATTATCTTTATGAATAATAAAATTTATCCTGGAAATTTAATTATTTTCAAAAGTCCTAATATAATTCTTTGTAAAATTCAATTGTCGTCAAAAGTAAGAAAATTCTGTGCAGAAATTAAATTATTTTCAAAAATTTTTTTCAAATTCTTCTTTAAATTTCAATTATCTTTATAAATAATAAAATTCATGCTGGAAATTTAATTAGCTTTAAAAGTCCCAATAAAATTTTTTGTAAAATTCAATTTTCTTCAGAAGTAAGAAAATACTTGGCTGAAATTAAATTATTTTCAAAAATCTTTTTCAAATTCTTCTTAAAATTTCAATTATCTTTATAAATATCAAAATTCTACTGCAAAAGTTAATTATCTTTAAAAGTAATAAAATTCTTATCTAAAATTCAATTATTTGCAATAAATTTTAATGAAATTCTTGTCAAAATATAAATTATATTTATAAAAAATAAAATTCTTGCTAGAAATTCAATTATTTTTAATTTTTCTTTAAATTTCTTGTTAAAATTTTAATTATCTTTATGAATAATAAAATTTTATTTTATAAATTTTATAAATTTTATTTTTGTATACCTTCACGCTTACCAAGAAATGCTCCATTATTTAAATTAAAATTAGCCAGAACCAATTATGTAGATAATTCGGTAGTTCATAAATTAAGTCGCGAGGCGAATAACTTCTGTCACGATTTAGATTTCTATGGCGTTCAACTAAGTTCCTTTCTTACACAGTTGAGCAGAAAATTGTATTATCACAATAATAGTAACGATAATGTTAGCAATGCGGCTATTTAATGTATTTTCTTTTGTAACACTCCTAGTACTTTGTACGACTGGGCTCTGCTAAAAACTTTGCCCGTTTATGAATAAATAATAAATTATAAAATTCATCCTGAAAATTTAATTATTTTCAAAAGTTCTGATAAAATTCTTAGCAAAATTCAATTATCTTCAAACGTACGAAAATTATTTACAGAAATTCAATTATTTTCAAATTTTTTGTATCAAGATAATTGAATTCTTTGCAGAGTTACTTAAAAATTTTTGAAAATAATTGATGTATTGAGAAGTTTATTTAAAAATGTGTTAAAAATATTTGAAATTCTGCGATAAAAATAAATGAATGTTTTTATATAGAATTGTATCAAAAAATTTGTTTTAAATAATTAAATTATATAATAAATTTTATGAAAATAGTTAATATTGAAAATCATTGAATAGCGATAAACTTTTGAAATTATTGAATTTTTGATAAGAATTTTTTTACTGTTGAAAATAATTGAATTTTTGTTATGAATTTTGTTATTTATGAAAATAATTGAATTTTGCAGAGAATTTCATTAAAATTTCTAAAAATAATTGAATTTTCAAGAAGAATTTTGTTATTTTTAAAGATAATTGTGTTAAAACGTTTGAAATAATTAAATAATATTAAAAAATTCTTTTTTGTTAGAAATAGAAAAAATTGTTGAAGGTTTTGCATTTGAACTCGTGGTAGTTTCATAATTTATGAAAGAAACAAAAAAAAGACACCAAAAATTCAAAATTTTCTTACAAATTCTAAAAATTTAATTTTTCCCAGTACTTTTAATAAAAATCCCTGGCTTCTTCTTGACCAATTCTACTTTCCCTGACCTGTGGTATCTCTCATAATATTGATGTTCTTTACTATGCATTTGAGTTTTATGTTTTTAGTTATTATGAGTGTTGTCAAGTGAAATAAGGTACCTGCATTGGTCGTGCTGTTGAGAAGCTGGGAGAAGAGTTTAAAATTACGATACATCATTTACACGATCCAGATGAGGCCTCTAATAAAAAACGTGAATTCAAACAGAATTTATGTCGACGTGTTATGAGAGAAGTCTCGAAAAACAAACAAATATACAACTCAGCACGTTTGGAATAAGTTTTTATTCAGTTCTTACTCATTTTGGGTTAATTAAATTTTTTTGGTTAATTATTTTTCGCAATGCTAGACTTATTTTTATACAGAATAAAACTAAGAAGCTTAACGCTATAAAAAGATACGCGCGAGTTATTTAACATGGCGTCTATTCCATTATAGCATCCAGCTCATCAATTATTCTAAAAAATTCAATTATTTTCATTATAATTTAAAAAAAAAATTTGAAAGAATTTAATTATCTTTAAAAATTATAAAGAAAATTAAAAATTCAATTAATTCGCATGAATTCGAGTATTTTCATTACGATATTTATAAAATATTTTGTTATAGTGCAAATATTTTTAAAAAATTGTAATAAAATTGTATGAAGAATTTATTTATTTCCAAAAAATGTTAATAAAATTCAATTGTGATGAAAAATTAATCATAGACAAAATTCATAGAGGAATTTTTGTATAATTTTTGAAAGATAGAATTTTATAGGTGACAAGTTTTCTTCAAACAAAATACCTTGTCTAAGAAAATTTATTTATTATTATTTTCATTCAAACTACTTACCATAAATATAATTTTTTTCATAAATACAATTGCATTTTTGTAACCCATTTTTGGTTCTTTTTAGGACTGCGGGGCTGTATATTCAATAAATAAAAAAAATGTAAACTTGCTACAATTTTTATGAAACAGTATGCCATTTAGACGAATTTTTAATAAGACATAGAAATTTTTTTCAAAATATTTAATATTATGTAATTGGAAGTTATGTCCAATTAAATTTTAGCAAAGTGTACTTCTAATGCATAATACAGAAAATTGCTAATGATTCGGCAAAGAAAAAATTCTTTTTAATAATTTTTAAGTCCCTTAAAAGTTTGTCCGAATGACATTCTGTTCAATAAAAATTCTAGCAAAGGAAATTATGATAAATTAAATTTCGATGTAATGCATATTTTGTTAAATGACTATCTTGAACTATGGAAATTTAAAAAAAGTCATAGTAACTAAATATCTATAAAAAAATTTAAGTTTAAGAAAATTTCTAACATGTAGCATTCTGTCTTTCCAAAATTGATTTACAGGGCTCGGATCGTCTTTGTGAATAATAAAATTCTTCTCTAAAATTTAATTATTTGCAATAAATTTTAATAAAATTTTTTATTAACCTTATAAATAATAAAATTCATTCTAGAAATTCAATTATTTTTTAAAGTTCTAATAAAATTCTTTGCAAAATTTAATTATCTTCAGATGTAAGAAAATTTGTGGCAGAAATTAAATTATTTTCAAAAAATTTTTTTAAATTCTTCTTAAAATTGAAATAATCTTTATAAATATAACAATTCTTTTTCAAAATTCAATTATCTTTAAAAGTAATAAAATTCTTGTCAAAATTTCAATTATCTTTATAAACATCAAAATTCTTCTGAAAAATTAAATTACTTACTATAATGTTTTATAAATTTCTTTCCAATAATTCAATTATTTTCATAAAAAATAAATAAAAAAAATTTTTTATAAAGTCCTATAATATAAAATATAATGATTTCATCACTCGGTCATCTTTAATTGTTATAAAATATTAAGACATCGATTGTTCCGAGTCGAAGACTCGGAGTGATCGATTTCTTCATGTTTTATAACAATTTTTTAAAAGTTGTTTAATTTTAATTTTTCTATGGAAAAATAATATTAAAATATTTATTTTAAAAAGAATTTATTGATGTTTTTGAAAAATTTGAAAGAAATTTGTAAATAAATGTAACAAAACATTTTTTTGATTCAAACTTTTTCCTTTAAATTTAAATTTTTTTAAAATTTGAGTCTTATAGGGTAAGTGTACCAATTGCCGAAGGTGTTCCATTTGTCGATGTTACCATGGTAATAACCAAAAAATATTGTCTAAAATGTCTTATTTGTTTGTGGATATAATATTAATATATTTTTTTCACATTTATAACGCATAAGAAAATTAATATTTATCACTTTTTTACATTTACAATGTGCTACAATGTTTAAATAAAATTCAAAGTTTGTTTACTCGACAACAGGAACCATCCTCGACAATTGGTACGTTTACCTTATTACTAAAAAAAATCTTGAAAAAGTCGATTAGTCGCATTTTTTCACAAAAAAGTTAAAAAAAATCACATTTCCTTCGAAAAGTCGAAAAAATTCGAAAAAGTAGTACAATCCGAGCCCTGTTATTTATAAAATATAATAACGCGCCTCTATGATCTATACTACTATAAAACTATATTTAGTGTATTTTCTTTTAATGTTATTGAAATTAAATGAAATTAATTTGAATTAATTAATTACAATTAAAATCATAGCTATTAACTATTTAATTTTAAGGGACCCTGAAGCTGCAGTTGATGTCACTTTTTGCATGGTTGAAAGAAACATGTACAAATGGCGTGAAAGAACATTACCTCCATTGCCTCCTGTTCCGCAGTCTGTGCAACAATTGTCCGATATTTTAAATTCAGAAGAATACAATGAATGGACACGATTTAATGGGGGATCTTTTACAGTATCACCAATTACTGATAATAACCAGTTTACTTCAGTAATTTTTATAGATGTCCCGTTTGCCAGAGAAATAATTGCGAATAATGATGTTCTTTATTGTGATGCTACATACAAAGTCAAACCTACGATCACGGATGCATACCAGCTGCTAACATTTATGATAAAATTCAACCATGTAAGATAATTTGTTTTCACTTAAAATATGATTTATTATAGTGATTTTATTCGATTGTAACTTTTTATCAAGTGGAGATTTTTTGGAAAAAATCAACTCATCTTTTAAGATCTATTATTTATTACTTTTTCACGATTCGCTAATATTCTGAAACTTTTTCTAATTTTCTTAATTCTTAAAATTTGCTCTACTTTAAACCCGTTAATATTTCAATTGAAAACATTTATTTTTTCCAAAATTCTTTTAAAAAATTCAATTATTTGACAAAATTTAAATAAAATTCTTTGAAACAATTGAATTATTAAAATAATTTTTAATAACATTCTTTAGAAGAATTTAATTCGACATCATAATAATTGCAAAAATTGTAGGGTCAGTTGGGGTAAATAGAAACAGATTTGCCATCTTTTACCAATATCATGAGTTTCTTCTTTTAAATCGGAATACTTACGGTTTTTTGTGTATTGAGTTATTATTACACATACGTGGAACAATTTTATGGAGTAGTAGAAAATATGGGTATCATTAAATCAATAGAAACAATTTTCTCTCTTTCAATTATAAAAAATATTATTGAAATTTCTACTGTTTCTATTTTCCCGAATTTTCACTTTTTAAGGGTAAATAGAAACCATTTGTAATTAAAGTTTGCAAAATGAAAACATCAAAGTTGATTTTTGTTGTATTATTAATCAGAGATAATTATAAATTTTAGTAAAATTTTTAGTTTATTTTTCTCCAAATGCGAGTCAAAAAAGTGAAAGGATGCCTTCTTTGATTTTCAATTTTTCATGCAATAGGAAATATTTCTGTATATACTGCCGCTAATTGACAAACGGAAAATACATACAACCTGTTGGGGGTGATCAGAGGTTCAAGGTTTAAGGCTGTATTTATTTTTAAAATTTTTTATTTAACTGAAATAACTCTTGATTCGATTTATCCCTTGTTTTTATGTACCCCAACTGACCCTAACATTTTTCAAAAAAAAATTTTGTCTTTTTAAGTTAAAAAAATTATTATTAAAATAGTATCTAAATGTGAATTTAAATTTTGAATTTAAAATTTGTAACTAATTATGTAGGACGAAAATGATGTGTAATTCCTAAAAATAATTTTTTTTTAATTTTACATAGAAGAAAACTTTTAAATAAGTGAATAATTGGATAATTTTATTTATAAAATTTTTTAAATAGCTGAATTTTCGAATTTTAATTATCTTTAATAATTGAATTCTTTCGAAAAATTATTTGTGTAAATAATTGAATTAAAATTGTATTTAAAATAATTAATTTCTTTCGAACAATTTTATTACATTTTTGAAAATAATTATTCAATTCTTCTATAGAATTAAAAAAAACATTTTTTAAATAATTTATTTTTTATAATAATTAATTTGGCTAGTTAATAATATTAATTTACTTAAAACATTCAGGGGTTTCCAATCAGCTATGCATTAATGGAGAGTAAAAGCCAATCAGCTTATGAAACAGTTTTGACAGAGGTACGAAGGGTCCTTCCGCAATTAAACGTTACAGCGGTCATGACAGATTTCGAAATTGCACTACAAAACGCAATACAAGAACATTTCCCTGAATCTGAAGCACGTAGGTGTTTCTTTCATTATATTAAGGTAATTTTATATATGTATGCTTACACATTTAAAATTTTATACTTTTTAAAATCCTAAGATATTTTCTTGCTCCTGCGGTCAGTTGATCATTAAACATGCAGGTCTCGGATGGTTCTACTTTTTCGACTATATTCTGAAAAAAGAATCTAATTTAAACTTTTTTTTTAATGTACATTTTCCATTTTTCCTCCAATTACTACGACAAAATAATACTCCTCTGGTATAAAATGCAAATTTTCCAATTTTAATAACATAAATAAAAACTAGTTAAATTGATTAATTTTTCTTAAAGATAGTTGCATTTTAGAAATATGCAATTAAAAAATTGTCAAATAATCGGAATTTTGTAAAATTTTATTAAAAATAATTGAATTTTTTAAAAATATTTCAGACACATTTTTAAATGTAAAATTTTGAAAATTTTAAAAATAATTCACTTTTCAAAAATTATAAAAAGAAATCGCAGGGGGAAATTGATGTTAGAAAATAACTTATTGATAAATTATTTTCTAAAAACGTAATTTTTAAAATTTTTGTTTTTTAATTTCAATTATTTTTAACATTTTCAATTACATTATACACCAATTGTCCAAAAAATATATTATTTTTTAAAAAATAACATAATTATTTAAAAAATGACATTTTTTCTAATATTTTCCTCAAATTCGTTTAAAAAATTGAATTTTTGTTGAAAAATTTAATCAAATTTCAGTTTTCTGGAAATTTTCCAAACGAGTTTTATAAAAATCTATTCTTTTTTATAAATTAGTTTTCAAAATTTGTTAAAAACTAATTTTAACAATTTGTAAATTTACTCATCACAATTCGAAGTGTATATATCATAATGCAATGACGCTTGGATTGAAGAGATACCTAATAAGAAATCCTGAAGGAATGAATACGGTTAGGCAACTCATGGCTTTAGCTCTTTTGCCACCTGAAATGATTACACAGGCACACAAAAAAATAAAAAAGTCAAAACCCAGAGGTCACACCCCCCTATCCCCATGTTTTTGGGGTCGCTGAAACCGAATATGACCATGAAAAATTTTTTTCATCGGCCATTTTCCCGCTACAACCCCCTTACACCTGCTCCCGGGGGTTGAAATTTCAGTTTAAAAAAAAGTGGAGTAGGGTGTCTATTCCTATGTTTTTTGGGTCGCTAAAACCAAAAAAGACTACCAAAAACAAATTCTTCCCTCCCTTAACCCCCTACAACCCCCTTAACATCCGAAAGGTGGGGGGTCGAAATTCGAATTTTCACGAAAAGTCGATTACGGTGTCTAAACCTACGTTTTTTGGGTCGCTGAAACCAAAAAAGACTACCAAAATCAAATCCTTTCCTCCCCCGACCCCCTACAACCCCCTGCAATAATTTTTTTTAAATAAAACGAACCGATTTTTGGGAAATTGAAAATTAAATATTAATTATCAAAAATTATTGCAGGGGGTTGTAGGGGGTCAAGGGTGGAAAGGACTTGCTTTTGGTAGTCTTTTTTGGTTTCAGCGACCCAAAAAACGTAGGTTTAGACACCGTAATCGACTTTTCATGAAAATTCGAATTTCGACCCCCACCTTTCGGATGTTAAGGGGGTTGTAGGAGGTTAAGGGAGGGAAGAATTTGTTTTTGGTAGTCTTTTTGGTTTTAGCGACCCAAAAAACATAGAAATAGACACCCTACTCCACTTTTTTTAAACTGAAATTTCAACCCCCGGGAGCAGGTGTAAGGGGGTGGTAGCGGGAAAATGGCCGATGAAAAAAATTTTTCATGGTCATATTCGGTTTCAGCGACCCCAAAAACATGGGGATAGGGGGGTGTGACCTCTGGGTTTTGACTTTTTTATTTTTTTGTGTGCCTGTGTTATCGATACATATGAAGAGATAAAATTGTCTAAAAGTGCTGAATGTCTACGAAGATTGCGACTTTTATTAGAGTACTTTGAATATCAATGGTTGCAAGTGCGAAGGCCTGAAGGCTTCAGCGTTTTCGGTCTACGAAGGAGAACAAATAATTTACTCGAATCTTATCACAAAGTTATAAATACTCAATTTGGGAAGCATCCCAGTGCTTGGAATTTCATAAGTTAGTATATTTTTGGTATCCTTAATATGAAACGAGTAGATATGCAAATTAGGTAAAGAGAGACAGTCTAATGTTACTTATCCTCGAAAGAGAAAGAAAGCAATAGCGTTAGATTTACTGCGTTATAAACAGAGACCGAATTATGTTATTTCTATTTGGAAAGAGGAAGAAAGCAATAGCGTTAGATTTTCTGCGTTATAAACAAAGACCGATTTATGTTATTTCTATTTGGAAAGAGGAAGAAAGCAATAGCGTTAGATTTTCTGCGTTATAAACAGGGACGAAAGGTCTGCTCGAGTACCTGGCCTATTGTCTGAAGGGTTTCTTTCAACCAGTAGGCAGTCTATTGAGTGACCAGTGAGCAGAGAGAGAGAGAGAGAGAGAGAGAGAGTTGCATTGGTAGTCTATTTTATACTTGAGTATATACATATATACACTGTAAAAAATTTAGGGAGTTAACGGACTCGGGAGTTTGGAGTGAAATTTTTCGAGTTGAAAATCAACTCCAAAAGAGAGTTAATTTCTAACTCCTTTCATTCAACACCCGCGCGAGTTATTTTTTCATTGGGGAGTTAGCATTTGGGTGTGAAGTTTTAACTCTCTTTATTTAACTCCCCTGGCATTAACTCAACAATGGGTGCCACTTTTATAGAATCCCCTGGGAAGTTAAAATTTAACTCTCTTTTTTTACAGTGTAGTTACAGTTTATTAACAGATTTTTGCATTATATAATACAGAAAAATAAAAGTGTAAAGTGAAGAACACTTTTTTTCTCTTTTCAGAATTAAAAAGAATAAGAAGAAAAAAATTTTTGTGATTAAAAATAAGGATAAGGAGGTAAGTTTTTAAAAATTGTGTGAAATACTACTTTTTAATGATATAAAATGATTCTTTTTGTAATTTAGAAATGCAAGTAATAAATTAACAACTTTCCCGTCTAAGTCACTAAAATTATCTACTTTTTCAACAATTAAACTTGTAAAGAAATTTAAATAACTTTCTAGAATCATTATAAAAATGCTTGATCTCGTCCTTGAGTTTGCCTTGTTTTATTAAAAAATTTATATAATTTCAGTAATACTTTACATGGTTTAATATTTTTTTAATAAATCTTAAACAAGTACCCAGTTTTTTATTATAAAAAAGTTTATGTTGTCTTAAACAAAAAAAGAATATTTTTTATTTCAGTTCAAAATTAGAGTCTTCAAGGTAATAAACAGGTGTCATAATAATAAGGTGCCACTTTCAGAATCATGTGTTTGACTTATTTTGAAAGTAATTTTGATAAGTGATTTTTAACTTTAAATTCCTAAAAATTGGTAAAAATCTAAAGCTTAGAGTGACCGTCTCGACGCCCCCCGTTCATATAATGCTTATTAAAAAGCGAATGCAAGATCATTCTTATTTACTTTTTGGTGCAACATAATTCTTATTCGATTTTCCGTGCAAGAAAAGGTCTTATTCAAAATTGTGTGCAAAACAATTGCCACTGACAGAGCAATAAATGTAACCCTAAATCTTCGTTTTAATATTAAATTACAATTAAATATTTGAGAATTTCAGTGCGTATGTATTATTATAAGAAACTTTAAACATGGATTCTCTCTTACGTATTAAGAAATATTTTTTTAGCAATTGTAATTAAAATTTATATTGAAATGAAAATTTCATAAAATTCATAGTGTAAGCTAATTTCAGATTGTACTTTTTTGCATAGAATTTTGAATAAGCATTTTATTGCACGAAAACTTTAATAAGAATTGTTTTGCACTAAAAATTGAAAAAGAATGATCTTGCATTTGTTTTTCTATAAGCATTATATGAACGGGAGGCGTCGATCTGTACTGTTAATTTCAAAGTATTTTTATAATAGTATTTAATGTTAAAATACTTAAATAAAACTAAAAATGACTTAAGGGGGGAAACACTAGACGTCTGAAAAAATCTATTTTTTCTTTTTTGCATAAATTGTTAGTTAAGGTATTCAAAAATAGGCTAACAAAGTTTTTAGAGCAAAATTCAAAGTCCTTGCTGTACTAGCGATGAACGGAGCGCGCTCCAGGTTACCGTAGATTAGTAGAATAAGCGTAGCACTTTTGAGACTAAGGAGAGCAGAAAGTCACGAAAAGAGGAATTATTAGACTTACATGCTACTTATGAAGCACATGAAAGGATATATATAGTGTTGAAATAGCCGATTAAAGTGTAATCACTTTAAAAAATTTTTTTGTATAAATATGAATTTTTGATACTATTTTTTCAAATGCGTTTTTCTCAAAACAGGATTTTTAAAACTGCCGTACAGTGTAGCTCAAAAAGTTATTGACCGATTTTAAAATGAAAAATTGGAAATTGTTCGTTATTAAATTTATTATTAAGTGAACTAAACTTGAAAAGAAAAAAAAATTTGGAGTACCTTTTTTAAAATAAAAAAGTTGCAAAAAAGTAGGCAAAAAATCGAATTTTTTTTTAAAAGTAGTGTCAATTTTTCAATTTTTAATATTTTCACTTAAAAGTTAGTTCACTTAATAATAAAATATTTATAAAATATGATTAAATTTGATTTTTTGCTTTCGGACAAAATTTGTGGGCTCAGGACTGCACGGCAGTCATGAACTCCGGCGGAGCAGCTCTATATAATAATAATAATATATAATAGCTCCCAATTTGGAAGATTTTTTATATAAACGCCTATAAAAAATATGAATTACAGTTAAATATTTGAACAACATAGTGGAAATGTTTTATTTCATTCAAAAAAATTCGCGAAAAACGGCAAAAAACAGCGTTCTAAATTGGTTTCCCCCCTTAACTGACTAATATTCAAATTTTTTTTATTTTATAAAAATTTTGTATTTTCTTATAAATCTAAATTTAAAAATAAATTAATATAAATAATATAATTTTTTAATTTTTA